GATAAAGCTAACATTTTACTTCTTGTCATTTAATTTGCAACAATAAAAAACGCAACTTTTCCGCTGTCCCTCATTCTGTTTTATTATCGTACTCAAAGTGCACTTTTTTCGCCTTTGGAAGCACTCCGCATTCACTTCTATTTGCAAGTATATTTTATTCAAAAATCATTTTGAATTCCGTTCATCAAACAAATTGGGCACGAGAATTTCAAAAAATTTTTAGGATTAAAAAAAATAGACTCCTTCACAGAATTTTCAAGACTTAGCAAAAAAAAGTTTGGGTTTTTAAATTATGAGTGAAGGTACTCGGTTACACTAAGAGGGTATTTGTAGTCTCATTTCATTCTGAAGAAATGTTTTTTTTGTACAAGAAGAGATTTTCAAAAACAGCTTAGTATATAACACAACGAGCGGCACCAAATCGAATTCTCATCTATAGAAAGGCAAATGCAATCTGATAGATTGATCAGTTTCTGATTATCAAAAGTCAGAAAGAGTTATCCATGAACCATCCAGCCTTTCATGAAACATCTACGTGTGTAGGGAAGGTGGGTTATGAAATCCCATTTTGAAATCCTGGGTTCAGAAAAGCAAAATTCTAAATCATAATTTCATTTAGAACATTGTAGACGACAGCTGGAAGTGATGCCGTCTGTAACATACAAACTTCTTTATTGTGGGCTTTTCAAACCATTTTTTTGCATCCGCAGAAAGGTTTAGCACAGATAACACAAGTTGGAAACAATTATCCCGACTTTCAATAATCCTCAACCCTCCTGAGAGCATTCGCAGATACATTCAAATCAAGCACTATAAAGCGAAAGCATTGTCACGACACTCGAGGTGCTTATTAATGCGCTGACCTAACTACAAACGGCTATTCCAGAAAACCCGACTACGAGAGGTACAAGAAGACCTTTGAACTGTCCCACATTTTTTACGACCTAAACAATAAGAACGTTAGGGCGGACTATTAAAAGTTTTTACTTGGCTGCTAGAACTGGTTCATTTTTATGATCAGCACTGTATTTTTTCGTTAGCTGGAAAAAAGTTCAATTACAAATACGAATTTACAAATTTTCAATATTGTTCATTGAACCTGTTAATGATGGTTCGGTGGCTACAGAAGAGAAACCGTGCAAAACAGCTTTTTCAAGGAGAAATTAAGAAAACTACGTTGCTTACGGAAAGATCTTGAAGTAAATTTTCTGGATCTTCACCGCGAACACTGTGCAAGAAAAAGAACAGACAGATCTGCGTGGACTACGATGTATTTTCCGTGCCTGATTTCTTTAATTATTGTATGAAATTTTGTGAAGTAAGGTGCTCAATTCTACTGTTAACTGGATTCGATCTCTTATGCTAGATGTTTGTCAAACATAAATTATGAACAACTGTAACAATAATCATACAAATACTTTTTTTTTGCTTCTAAAAACTACTGCGAGACGACGTATTTTGGGAAATAAATAAAAAAGAACTTACATAGTCTGTTCGAACTGTAATAAAATTATGGAGCGGTAATGCAAAACTTCAACAGAAACAGCCTTAGCAGAAAAAAACTGACCTATTGATATATTGCAGATCATGACTCCAACTGCTGCAACAGTTAGTTATTGCCTTTGAAGCTCAAAAATGGTAAATACCTGCAAATGAGGAAATGACAAAATGAGAACCAAAAATAAGTCAGCAAACTAGACCCATGCAAATTAATGAGTAAAATTAAAAGACAACCTCTGCTGTCAAATAATATAACAGATCAACTTCGATTCACAACAGAACAAAGCTTCTTGACTTCAAAACCGCCAAACAGAAACCCATGAAATCAGGCGCAGAAGACACGTTCGAGCCCTCACTTCTCTATCTACCCTTTTTTTTATGCGTTCATCACAACGAAGATTCAGAAAATTTCCTTCGAGACCTCCATGACGAACAGTGTAGTTTTCTCATCTTTACTTCAAAAGGCTCTTTTACACGTTTCTTCTGCTGCAGTTACCAAGCCATTATTAACAGTTACAATGACGAAAATCAACTGATTATGTACAGACAATTAACAGGGGTATGTTTTTTCACGACATATCAGAATCATGAAGAGAAATGGCAGTGCCTGCTTAAACCTTTTCTAAACAATACAGTATTTTAGAAATCTTAAGCGTCTGTGAAACTGCACTTGTAATTAAACTTTTCTCCAGTTAACGAAAAAATACAGTGCTGATCATTATATAAACCAATTTTAGCAGCCAAGTATAAACACCTACTTTATAGGACACCTTAATGTTTTCATCGTTTAGACCGTAAAAATGTGAGGCAATCCAAGGATTTTCTTTTCTTTTCTCAGTCGAGTTTTCAAAGATTGCCATTTGCAATTAGATTAGCGCACTGACAAATACTTCGAGTGCAGTGGCACTATTTTCGCTTTATAGTGTTTGATTTGAGTGCATCAGTGAATGCTGTCAGGATGGTTGAGAATTGTTAAAAGCGAGAATACCCGTCTCCAACGAGCGTTATCTATGTTAGACTTTCCTGTCAACACAAAAGAGGAAGATTTGAAAAGCTCATAATAAAAAACGTTGTACGCCACAGACGGCATCACGACCAGCTATCGCCTACTATGTTCTAAAGGAAGTAATAATTTAGAAATTTGCTTTTTTGAGACCAGCAGTTCAAAATAGTATTTTAGAACCCCCTTCCCCCCCTTTACTGCGGGCGTAAATGTTTCAGGAAAAGCTGGGTGAGTCGTGGATAACTCTTTTAAATCTTTAATACTCAAAAAATTATCAATCTATCAGACTGCATCTGCTATAAATGAAAATTCAATTTGCTGCCATTTGGTGTGTTAAATACTGACCTGCTTTTGGAAAAATTCTCTCATATAAGAACGACAGTTTTTTCAGAATTAGATGAGACTAACAAAACTCAACCAAAAACCTCCTCACATACTTTGAAAATCCAAACGTTTTCTCATTCAGCCTTGAAAATCCAGTCAAGAAATCTACTTTTTCAACCAAAGTTTTTTTGGACTCCCTGTTTTCAGTCCGTTCGATAAATGCAATTCAAAGTGAGTTCTTTGGCAAAAGATCTCTGCAAATCAAATTAAATGCTAAGTGCTTCCAAAAGCAGAAAAAAGCGCATCTCAAGTACAGTAAAAAAAGATAATGAGAGATAGCAGGAGACTTAGATGTGAATTTTGAGCATAAGCAAACCTCATATTAGGCTTGACAAAACAAAAACTTTGGAAACGTTACCCAAAAAACCTTTCAAAAAAAAAGGAAAAAAAGCGGTATCAATGACGTATTGTTATAGTTTTGCTTTACCGGATTCGCCCTTTCATTGATCTAGATTATAATTTTCAATATCAATTTTCACCAACAGATTCTTGGCAGTGTCAACATCGTTTCGAATCGCATCTATCAGCTCCTCTGCAAATTTTACTACATTTAGCGTGAATAGCTCACCCAAAGTAACTGTTAGGATCCTTGTGAAATTTTATTTAAAAAGTGACAATAAAAGAAGGTGAAAAAATTTTGGCTATCCTTCTTGGAACTAGAAAAAAACTGTCAGAATGCAAGGATTATCTAAAAAATTACTGAGATTCGGAAACGATAGCATTGGTCGTAAATAACCTAGAACGACTCCTTTCACTTCTTCACCGTAAAACTGTTCCGAATATTGATGAAGTAGGTGAACTTCCTTGAAAAAATTTCCTTCTCCAAAGGTTTTAATGTTTTAAAAATCATTATACGCTTTTAAAAAACTAACCATTGTCCTCTCCTCCATGTTAAAGTGAATATTTTTACCAACACTCATTAACATACCATACTGTTTACCATCGCTTACGACAGCAGCAATGCCGTAATAGACTCCGTCTAAGAAGTCAGAAGGTAATCGTGCAATTGCTGCGTCGTCTAGGTTTGCTATAAAGGAAATACAAATTTATTCAAGCTTGCATCATTCACTTAAAAAACTCTAAGATTAGTGTACTGTGCAATTCACACTGTTTAAATGCTAAACGCATAAAAAAAACAAAGAAGCTGTAAAACATCTGCACAGGAAATCAAAAAAAGCAGAATAGTGAAACCTGTTGGCATTGACAATTCTGTGCTGCCACGTCTATGACCAGGCACTACTCGCCCATGAAAAAAATACGGAAATTTTGTATGAGACATATCTGCAAAATTATCGTTCTAAATTTGAAAAAACACTTTCCAGACAGTTAATAAAGCAAAGAAAAACAAATGGTTGTTACAAATTGTTCAATTTTAGTCTTTGCTAAAATAAAGAATGCCAATTTTTTCCTATTTAAAAAAAAGTTAAAATGAAAAGCGTGGCGTTTCAGTGAAAAAAAAAGCACGCCCCTTTTCAATAACAGACGATAAAAACCGTGAAAATTAAAAAAAAAAAAACAAAAGGCTAACAAAGTCATACTTGAGCAGAAAGAGAGCAACCATTCACTTTCACTCCAGATAATAATCCGTAAACAAACACACAGTGGTCAGCCCAATGCTACAATATCGAAAGTTGAAGCAGCACAAGCGTTTAAAACAAATGCCACCATAACCTAAATTATTTAAGTGTTCTGACAAACTAAGAAGTAATATTTTTTATACTCTGCATTCCTTACACGTTGACAGCCTACAAAAAGGTGCAGCTTTACAGCTCTGCCCCTACAACGGTTTAAATCAAAGTAGGTTTGCTTACCGTCAACAGGAAAACCGTAAACTGCATTTGAAACCCCGGCTAGATAATCTATTTTCTAAAATAGCCATTCAGACATTACTGGGCAATTACAGCTTCCTAATTGTGTAGACAGGACAGTACCTTTCGATGTCACATAACAAACACTACCGAACCACCCACTGCCAACCACCGCTGCATTAATAACAATGAAAAAGACAACAAGAGCAAACAAAGTAATCCTCTCTTCCTCCCAATGAAAAGCGGCTAATACCATGACAATAAGTGCCAAAAAAACCCACCTCTCCCAATGAGACAAAACAGTGATTTAATCTTATAATGGCAACTGTAAGCGTCAAAATCTCTGAAACTTTGAAAACAGAAATTAAACCGGTCCTGCTAGAAAAACACGTGTGCGTCAAGCGCCAAAAGATCAAAAGTATCCTCTACTTGAGGAAAAAGAGTATTAAACTGGAATGCAGGCAAACATTTCATTGCTATGAGTATGGTGAGCAATGCAAAAACGAAGACATTACTGTCAAACTTTATCTAATTCATCAGTAATCAATCGTACAACTTTAAATACAAAACCTTTAAGTACAACTGCCAAGAAACTTTCACAAATACATTATTACATTTTAACACTATAGAAATGTACATCTGAGAAAAAGAACTCTTATTATAAATAAATCAAGCCAAAACAACTGTAAGATGCTTCCGAGGAAATTTAAAGACGCCGAACCAGACGGAAAGGCACAGTCTACAGCCACAAGGCAATAATCGCCAAAGAAATCTGTTTTCGTCAAAGCTATTACAGAAAAAACTGCCATTCCGCAAGCAGTTAACGCTAATACGTCGAAAACTTGGTAAAGTCGTTAAAATAAATACACACAATCTCGGAAGCAACTTGAGAATTTAAATTAAACTAAGGCCACCGGCACGAATTACATCCAGACTAAGCATTGAAAAGGTCACGAAATAAAAAAAATTGAAGACTTGTTATCGACAGAGAAACAACAAAATCTAAAAATATTTCTACCGAAAACGTTTTTTGAACTTTATGAATTACTCACTCTACGGCAAGTTACTGAACAGATCAGAACTAAATTACCTTGAATAAAACTCAAACTCGCATATTATGCAATCTTTCCGAAAATGAAATCAGTGATTGTAGGCATATTTTAGATACAGTAATGAGTAACAAGCACTATCTTATAGTACATGTTAAACAATTAAAAAAGAAAAAAAAACAGTAAAATCAAACGACACTAAATCGATAAAATTTTACTTAATTAATCTTCGCGTTCACTAGAGCTAAAGGGGCACAGTTTTTGATGCAAGAAATCATCTCCTTAAACAGGCAAATAAGAGGTACAATTACAAACAAATTAGACTTAAAATAAATGCAAAAACCAGAAGATATATAATTCAAAGTTACTCGACTAAAGCTAACAAGTATAACAAGAAATAAGCTCTCTCTCAAAAAAAGAAAAAATCACCAAATATTCTTATGTTCCAAAAATGAAAGACATATTTTGACCCATAGAATCGGAAAAGGCCAACAGAGTGGCATCTCATTAAGACACTAACCCACCTAAGGCAATTCATTAAAAAAACATATTTACACTGTTGAGTAACTCCAAAACTTAAATTTCTTACAGTAACTGTAATGCAAACTTAACAACGTATTACTCTGCAAAAATAGACTATTTTCATGGAATTAATATATTCAAAGAAATACTCAAACGCGCCTATAATAAGACGAAGGAAGAGTGTTATAACGCTGTTTTGCAGAATATTTCGAATCGACCAGCTCTGCATAATCTGGAGGTGAAGACACTTGACCTACAGCCCATTTTAAAATTTCGTTGCCTTTCACAGTGATAGGGGCGGTCTGCGAAAACGACTTAACAGATTACAAAAAAAAAAAAAAAAAA